TCCAGGGCCCTGCTAGGTGCCCTTGGTGCGCACTCTGCGTCCCCTGGGAGCTGCCCTGGCAGTGCCTTCCGAGCACCCGCACCGCTGGCTCACTTGCCTTTTTCGGCCGAGGCCGGGCCACGGCTCTCCTCCCCTAGTGGGCAGGCACTGCTCGGCGTGAGAGTGGGAATTCCATGCTTTCCAGCGCTCGAAGTGGGGGGAGTTGGGGTACTCATCTTTGGGATCACTTCCTTTTTGCATAGACCTTGTTGCATAGAAATAGCCACACGCTCGCTCGCACCCACCCCGTCTCCTTCTCAGTGTTGTACATGTCAAATATTTCTAGGCAGCATTGGTGAAAGTGGGACTAGGAGACCAAGCCCACCGCCGTCCGTTCCGTTCCAAAGCAGAGTTGTAATGCCAGAGCTGTCTTCCAGGGCTGCTCGGTCACCTCTTCTGGAACTTAGGGATGGGCCTCACCTGCCAAGGTGCGCTCCCAGGGAGTCTTGGGAGGAGGGCCGCTGAAGTCTCCCTGAAATTGCAGCTTTGAGGCTGTGAATTGACTCAGACCTTTTCCCCCTCTCTTAGAGCTGTCCTGAATTTCAGCATAGAGGTAATGAGTTTTGAGTTTACTAATACCCTGTTTCCCCGAAAATAAGACAGTGTTTTTTGAATTAATTTTTGCTCCCAAAGATGCGCTAGGTCGTATTTTCAGGGGATATCTTAGTTTTCCATGAAGAAGAATACGGTACACATTTATTGTTGAACAAAAAAAAGGAAATTTATTACCTGTATACGGTCCGGTAGTAGTTGTCATCACAAACCAGCATAACCAGACAAACTGAATCCTACAGTATCGAGAATTTCTTGTTACTACCATTATTTCCATGTACAACCATCTGTGGTACATTTTCTCACAATCATGGTACATTAACTCGCACTTCCTGCCTGCTCTGGCTGTGCTGCGGCCAACAGTGAGCTGCAGGGCCCACCACTACGTTCCAGTAGTTTCCGGGGGGCCTTATTATCGGGGAGGCCTTATTTTCGGGGGATGCCTTAGATTTCAGCGAAAGGCAAAACTGTAAGTAGGTCTTATGTTCGTGCACGTCTTACTTTCGGGGAAACATGGTAATAAGAGATGTAATTTAAAAAACCCATTTTTCCCATGAACTTGCTGATGATTTTTAAAGGGTGCTTGTCCTGGTTTTTTGAAACTGAGGATTTGGTGAGCAAATTTATTTTCATCAAATCATAATCTTTTGTTGACTATTGACTGTCACCATATGGAAATGCCTAATATATTGAGTTTAGAAGCATCGCTCTCATGAAGTAGTGGAGTGTAGAATTAGAACTTGGAAGTACGGTACCTTCGTATGAAACCTTGCTTTTTGTAGATGGGGCCACAGCAGAGTACTAGGAAAGTTGAGGAAATTCTCTTCAAAATTTAGTTTAGTTCTCTTACTCTTTTCCAATTTCTCTATATCTTTCTTCTCCCGTATCTTTGAAAATGGTTCAGGTTACACACATTAAGTAATTGCGGCCTTTTTTGTGTGAATGTCATTGTGGAGTACACTATCCAGTAACTATATTTTCCCACCATTGAATAAGCATTTTTTTTAGACTAATATTATTTGGGTGGTGGTGTGGGGAATCTAACTGGAATTAGGTGACCTTTTAGCAATAGATATCTATTTGCTAATATCAAGAAATATAAATATTGTAAATGATTATGTCAGGGTCAGTAGGTCAATATTAGCAACAATTTTGGAAGCTGATGCTATTTCAAGTTCGGAGTTCTGGTGGTAATTCAGGTATTAAAAACCCTTTACACTGTGATAAAAGCTGTGGGCAATGCCCTGAGTACTGATTCTTTACAAACATAAGAAAACATAAAAATCGTAAGAGTATTGCGCCTTGGTATTCCCTCAACATTGTTGTGTGAAAAAATTGTAAAAATTTAAAAATAGATAGAAATGATTGAGTAGCACATCTAACACCTGCACTGAAATTTGTTAACTGTTCGCCACATTTGCTTTATCTTTAAGAAGTTGTGTATGGTAACCTGTATATTTGTAAAAGCACGCACATCTGTTTATTTTTGCTGAACCACTGAAGAATACATTGCAGGTATTGTGACAATCAGAAATCGTGGTACAAAAAGAACATTCTCCCATATAGTCACAGTACAATGATTACACTGAGGAAATTTCACAGGGGTATAATACTGATATATAGTTGAGATCCTTAGGGCTCCCATGCTGTACAGGCTTTCCAGAAGCAGACTGCCTCAACGCTCCCTTCCAGCAGCGGGTGGGTTCCAACCGCTGACCTTGGTTCAGCAGCCCAGTGAGTAACCCACTGTCAATCACTGGGCTGTTAAATGACCTTTTTCTTTCATCTGTAGAATCAGGCCTCTATCTTTTCTGATTCATCCAGCAAGTAAATGCTCCCTAGTGTGCTCTCACATGTATTGTAGTTCCTTATTTACATATCTATGAATTTAGTGTTTTAACCTTTTTTGTCCCCAGCCCTGGTGGTATAATGGGTTAAACATTGGGCCAATAACCACAAAGTTGGCAGTTCCAACCCACCAGACCCTAGGGGAAGGTGAGGCATTCTGCTTCCTTAAAGGTTTAGTCTTGGAAAACCTAGGGAGGGAGCCCCTGTACTCCGCTGCAGGACCATTCTGAGTCGGAAGCCACTTAATGACAGTGAATTTAAAAGTGAACTCAAGTGGATGCTTACGTGAATTTTCATGTACATATATTAATTTTCATGTATGTATATGCCTGTCTAGCTTCCATCCAGATCAAAATACAGCAGCTCTCCAGCCCACAGAGGCTCCCTGGGTCTCTCCCCACCACTACTCCCCACAGAAGATTCCCACTAATTTGGACTTCTGTCACCGTGGCTAATTTGAACCATTTTGAAATATAGAAAAGGTGATTATATAATCGACTCTCTTCAGTTTGACTTCTTTTGTTCCATAGTATTTTAGTACAATTCATCTACTGTGTATAACGAGAGTTATTATTGCTCTGTTGTTAGCTCCTGTTGACTCGGGCCCCAATTCATGGTGACCTCATTTACAATAGAATGAAATGCTGCCCGGATCTGAGCCATCTCCATTGGTTGGGCATCAGATCATTGAGTCCTATATGGTTTTCATTGCCTAATTTTTAAGTAGAGCACCAGCCTCTCTTTTTTATCTTCTCTAGAAACTCAACCTAGTAACTTCCGATTCTTCACTGACAGACAGATGGTTGTTGTGCATGAGGTGCATTGGTGAGAAATTGATGAAAAGAGAATTCTACCACTAAATAGCCAGTTACCTAGTGGTACACAGTTCACTCTAGGCTGCTAACTGAAAACGCGGAGGTTTCAAGCCTATCTGGAGGTGTCTTGGAAGAAAGGCCTGGTGATCTACATCCAGTAGATCCCTCAGGGAAACCCTATGGAACCAAGTTCAACTCTGACTCTCCTGAGGTAGCTGTGAGTTGGAGGTGACTCATCGTCAATTGGTACTGGGTCCGCATGTCTCTCCTGTGCTCTGCCAGCCAGTCATTGAATGCAGGCTGCCAAGGGAAAGAGGCATGCCTTTGGGTAATCGGGGTTCAGGGAAGGGATTCAGCTCAGTTTTGTCGGCAAGAAACACTTGATGGCACCTGAAGTTGGCAAGAAAGTGCCCACCACCGATGATGCAGGAGTCTCGATCCTGAGGGTATGGAGGAGTAATGGTACCAATCATTCAGTTATCGATTGTTTTATTTGGCCTTTGCTGGTTTCTGGAGTCATGGTAGAAGAAGATTGGAAAGGCTTTTTGATTTTTGTTGCTGCTGAAGTTGACACTGAGCTAGAAATGTCCTGTTGGTACGGAACCGTGGTAACCCATTTGCCGAGGGTCGAGTCTGACTCGTTGCCACTCCACATAGTAAAATTGCCTGTGGAGTTGCTAAGGCTGTAATCTCTATGGTAACAGACTGCCATCTGCTTCCCGTGGAGTGACTGGTAAGTCTGAGCTGCTACCTTTGTGTGAGCATCTGAGTGCTTCCATAGCTGTTGTGCCCTGGACTCTTGTCGGAGAGATGGTGGTAAGACTCAATCGCCAGAGAAGCAGTGGAGATGATGACATAGTGAAAAAGTACAAGATGTTCATCAGAAGATCTAACTACAAGTAACGTCTTGGAGTTTTAACAACTTAACTGGTAGAGTAGCCTTTAGTTTCAGGTTGTAATCTAAGTATTTTGAGGATTTAGCATAACAGTCTCATTACCGTTATGAAAAAAATGTGTGCGCGTGTAAACAAAGTATCTTGAAAAGGTATTTCTAAGAAGATTAACTGCCAAGTCTGTGCTATGAACATGTCCCCATTTTTTTAGGTTCTGGGAAGTTCTGGATTGCTGAGCAGCCACGGGCTCCAGGTGCAGCAGCAGCACAGGAATCTCGCACTCCACGAGTACATGAGCATGGAGCTGCTGCAGGAGGCTGGCGTCTCGGTTCCCAAAGGACACGTAGCAAAATCGCCAGATGAAGCTTTTGCAATTGCGAAAAAATTAGGTACCGAATTAAGAAAACCTTATGCTAACGTGACATGGGAGCTTTGACGAAATATGAACATGATTGTGATAGAATGACAAATGTTAGCTCTGGAAAATAAATGATGTTTGCTAAAAAGAACATTGTGGTTATTGAGATTCTAGAATTACTGTGAGATGTGTCTAGTAAACTCAAAAGTTGTTTATATTAGCATTCTCACTGCTGTCGAGCAGACTCACAGCAGCGCTGCAGACAGGGTAGAACTTGCCCCTGTGAATTTCTGAGGCTGTAATTCTTTAGAAAGTAGTCCCGTTTTTATTGGTGGAGAAGATAATCCTACCTACCACTTTTTGGCTTACAATTATGATGACTGTGTACAATTAAGATGACTGTGTGACACGGGACGCTGACAACATGGTTGTAAAATCTAGTTCCATCTCCCCAAAGGTGATAGAACATTCCCCCTCCCATGCCGCCACTACCTGAAATTCACCAGCCTGGCCAAGAGCTCTAAGGAGCTGCCAGGAGGGCAGGGGTCCTCGGTGGGAGCCCCGGGCCTCAAGTGAAGGTGGCAGTTGGGTGCTGCTCACACATGCAGGAGTGGTGTGTTGGGAAAAGCAGTGCTTTGGAAGCAGGTGGACTTAATAAAGAAATCACTTCTAAAAAAAAAAAAAAAAAAAAAATCTAGTTCCATCGAGTTGATTCTGCCTCATATTGACCCTAGAATTGCTCCTCAGGGTTTCCATGACTCAGTTTTCACAGGAAAAGACAGCCTCATCTTTCTCCTTCAGAGTAGCTGGTGAGTTTGAACACCAGCCTTGTCGTTCGCAGCTCAGTGCTCACCCACCACACCACCAGGGCTCCTTACTAAACCAGGGAAACGTGGCTTCAGTCAGACAAGAATTTCTTACAATTTTGTGTAAGTGCAGTGTAGATTGTAGTATTAAGGCAGAGTGTGTAGTTAGATAAATGTATGCACATGGTGATGGTTAAGAAATGTCAGCCCAGAAAGATTTCTAAATAGAGAACAAAAGGACTTGTCATTTTATTAGCTATAAGAGGATGTTTAAAATACCTGTGAATGAATGCAGCTTGGAGAGACAGTGAATATATTTTGACTGTTTTCTTGGGATCGAGAAAAGATCTTGTGGCTGGAGCAAAGAAGCAAGTCTAAAAAGGTTGTAAACTGAGACTCACTGTGGTCACTTTTGCTCTGTTTTTATCCACAGCTCCTGGGCAGTATCAAATCTAGTAGTACCAGTTGAATGAATGAATGAGTGTAATTAGCAGTACCTTTGTTTCAGTCAGTTACCTTCCAGTCCTTCTTCTCCTGATAGTAAGTTATTGTCATCGTCGCCATCATCATCATCATCACTTGACTTTTCTTGAGTTGTTACATTTCCAAAGAAAGCAAGTTTAGACTCTTTGAGCGAAGAGTCTCCATGCTATGAAATAATTGTTGAAAAGTATAGCTTCATTGCCCTCCTTTAGTAGGTCAATATAGTAAGCCCTCCTTGCTCAGTTGCGAACTGATGAGAGTGGGCTCTTTGCCCCCACCCAGCAGGTCTGCAGAGAGAGGCCTGGTCACCAGCCCCTGTAAAGGTTGCAGCCTCGCAAGCCCTTTGGGCAGTTCTGTCCTGTCCCATGAGGTCAGTACGAGTCAAAGTCAGCTCCATAGCACCTAACAACAATACTGTTAGTTCCCAGTTTAATGAAGAGCATAACTGACCAGTTGGTACTGGTTTAACTATTGACCTTTTTGTACTGCACTTCCTCTGTTTAGATGATAGTTATCTTCTTTAGATTTAAATACGTATTTCTGAAGTCTTGTCAAGTGGATTTCAGTGTAGAGTTATAAGATCAGATTCTTACTGGACTTGTTTGGCAACCAGAAACTGACAGGCGCTGCTTCCTTTTAGGTGGCGATTTGTTGCCGCCTAGTTGCTTCAGACTCAACAACCCTGTGTATAGCGGGACAGAACATTGTCCTATCCAGCATCATCTTCACAATTGTCACATTGGAGACCTGGTTGCAGCCACTGTGTGAGTCTGTCTCCTAGAGGGGCTTCCCCTTTTTTGCTGACCTTCGACTTGAATATCAAGTATAATGTTCTTTCCCAGGGACTGGCCTCTCCTAATCGCATCCAGAATATGTACGACGGCTGTACTTCTTTCAAGACAGATTTTTATTTGTTTGTTCCCCTTGACAGTACACGGTGCTTCAGTATTCTTGCCAACACCGTAATTCAGATACATCATTTGCGCTGCCTTCTTCCTTATTCATTGTCCATATTTCATATGTATATCGGGCAATTGAAGCTACTGTGGCTGAGGTCAGGTCACCTTAGAGACTTCTTGCTCTTCAACACAGCATGTTCCCGTGATGTCTGTGGGTCCAGTCGTGAGGAGCGTGGTTTTCTCTACATTGATTGTCCTTCGTACTGAAGACTGCAGCGTTTGCTCTTCACTCATAGCCGCAAGTCCTCTTGGCTCTCAGCAAGCAGATGGTCTCCTCTGCACATTTCAGGTCGTTATCGAACCTTCCTTCTCTTCTGGTGCCGAGTTCTCCAGACAGTCCTGCTTCTCGGATATTTGCTCAGCACACAGATTGAATAAGTGCTGAAAGGATACAACCCTGACACACAGCTCTCCTGATTATGAGTCGTGCAGTCTTCTCTAGTTCAGTTTTAATAGCTGCTCTTGGTATATGGACAGGTTCCACATGAGCATGGTTAAAAATGTCTGGAATTTCCATTTAAAATTTTACCATTAGTCATGGTGCATACACGCAAATGCCTTCGCAGTCAGTAAAACACAGGTACACATTCTGTATTCTCTCTGCTTTAGGCTAAGATCCACCTGACATCAACAATGGTGTTTCTTGTTTCAAGTTCTCTTTGGAGTTTAACTTGAATTTGTGGCAGCTCCTTGATTATGAATGGCTGCAGTTTTCATTTATCTTCAGCAAAACTTTACTTGCATATAATTTAGTGATCTTGTTGGGTCACTTCTATCTTTTGTTGGGTCATGTGTTTTGGAGTAGGCACAAATATGGGTCATGGGTCTTTAGAATAAGCACAAATACGGATCTCTACCAGTTAACCGTGTCTTCCAAATTCTTGGCATAGTTCTTTCACCACTTGTCAGCTTGCTGAAATGTTTAATTAGTGTTTTGTCAGGTCCTGGAGCCTTGTTTTTAGCTAATACCTTCAGTATGGTTTGGACTACTTTCAGTACCATTGGTTCTTGATCAGATGCCACTTCTTAAAACAGTTGACTGTCGACCAGTTCTTTTTGTTACAGTGACTCTTTGTATCCCTTTCATCTTCTTTGGATGCCTCATGCTTGGTGTGTTAGTCTGGGTTGACTAGAGAAACAAATCCAGAGCCATTCATAAAAGTATAAAAGAGAACTTTAGATCAATAAAACATCCCAGCTCAGTCCAGAGCAAGTCCATATGTTCAGTATTAGCCCATAAGTCCAGTATTAGCCCATGGATTCTTCTTCAGACTCACGCAACACATGCAATGATACAGGAAGATCACAGGCCGGTGGGTGGAAAGTCCTGTGGGTCCAGTGGCGGCAGAAGCATCTCCAGGACTCTGGCTGCCATCAGCATGGCTCCGTGTGGCTTGTCAATGGGAATGAGAGAGAGAGTGAGAGAGAGAGAGAGAGACCCGCCTCTTCTGACAACAAAATCAAGAGAGAAAGTTCCCAGAATCTTCAAGAGCAGCAGAAAGTCTAGATTTAGAAGAATTCTCCCTGTTTTGAAAGGTTCTCTTATTCAACATTCAACAAAATATTACATGCTGAGAACCCTTCTAGGAGCTTAGAAGCATCAATGAACATTAGGGTTCTTCCATCTTAAATCTTATATTCTAGTGTAAAGGAAAACAGGAAATGATGCAAGGAAATTGATTATATATTATTTTAGAAGTTTATTAATTCTATGGGTAAAAAGTAGAGCCAGGAAAAGAGATGCAGTGCATGTGGACAAGTTGTACTATCAAATATGCTATCAGAGTAAGTGCATTGCTAATGTGAGAAAAAGCTTAAAGAAGATCAGGACCTTTCCCATCTTGGGGGAAAGCGTTCAAGGCAGAGGGAGCTTTAGGACAAAAGCCAGAATGTGCCAAGGTATGGTGAGGAGAGGAGTGTATTGGAATACAGTGAGCAGGGCACGGGGGATAAGAAGGGTAAGGCGGTTGAGATTATTGCGGGCCACCGTAAGGACTTTGCCTTTCACTCTGAGTGCAATGGGCATTCATTGCAGGGTTGTAAGTAAAGGAGGATAAAGGGAATCTAGGGAAGAGGTAGTGGTGGTTAGTGTCAGGGCCCAACCAGGAGCTGATGAGGAGTCACCAGATTCTCTCTTTGTGGATGGTAGAACTACCCTGTTTCCCCGAAAATAAGACAGTGTCTTATTAATTTTTGCTCCCAAAGATGTACTAGGTCTTATTTTCAGGGGATGTCTTATTTTTCCATGAAGAAGAATACGGTACACATTTATCATTTTATTAAAAGAGACATGGCACTTCCTGTCTGCTCCGGCTGCAGAGCGGTGCCCCGCAGCTAGGGTCCAAAGTCCAGAGTTACGGTAGCTTCGGGGGCCTTATTTTCAGGGAGGTCTTATTTTCGGGGGGCTGCCTTATATTTCAGCAAGAGGCAAAACTGTAAGTAGGTCTTATTTTCAGGGGATGTCTTACTTTCGGGGAAACAGGGTAGTAGGATTTCCTGGCTGATTGGATGTGGAGTATGAGAAAGTATGAGAAAGAATAAAAAAAAAATTTAAACACTACCTTCACTGACTCACAGGGGTGTCTTGTACACATTTCCTTTGTTGTCTCATTTGTTTGATCACAAACGGCATTTGTTATTTCATTGATTTGTTCATCAGATTAGTAGGTGGGAGACTCTGTTTGGCCATGTTCATTAGAGGATGATTTTCCCCAATAGTAGCATTTCCCTCCTGAGCGTATACAAATGCAGATTTATAGTTGTTGTTAGATACCATCAGTTTGGTTACAACTCATAGCAATCTGATGTACAACAGGAGGAAACACCACAGCCCTGTGCCCCCCTCACAATTGGTATGCTTGAGCCCATTGCTGCAGCTACGGTGTTAGTCAGTCCATCTCGGTATCACTGTCCCCCGCTGTACCATGCGTGATGTCTTTTTCCACGGGGCAGGTCTCAAATATGTCCTCAGTACTTGAAGCAAAGTCTTGCCGTCCTTGCTTCTAGGGAGCATTGTGGCTGCACTTCTTCCAAGGCAGACTCGTCTATTCTTTCGGCAGGCCCTGGTTCTTTCAGTATTCCTCGCCAGCACCATACTTCAAAAGAATCAATTCTTCTTTGGTGTTTCTTATCCATCGTCCAGCTTTCATATTCATATGACGCGGTTGAAAATGCATTGGCTCTGGTCCAGTGACCCTCAATCCTCAAAGGAACATCCTTGCTTTTCAACTCTTTAAAGAGTGGTAGTTACATCCCAAAGACTGCTTTGCTCTAAGGCTCTAATGAGTAGAGAAGGTAATTACTTTGCCATAATGTAATAAAGTTGCTACCCTACTACTGTTGTTAGGGGTCATCAACTCGATTCTGACTCATAGCAACCCGATACACAACAGATCAAACACTCCCTAATCCTGTGCCATCCTCACAGTGGCTCCTGTGCTTAAGGCCAGTGTTGCAGCCCTGTGTCAATCCATCTTGATGTGGTTATTACACGTTGGGTTGCTAACCCTCAGGTCAACAGTTCAAAACCACCAGTCGCTCCACGGGAGAAAGCCAGGACTTTCTCCTCCCATGGATTTATTGCCCTGGAAACCTACAGGGCAGTTCTACACTGTCCTACAGGGTTGCTATGATGAGTAACACCTCAATAAGACATCATCTTCTGAGGTTTCTTTCTTTTCTTTTTTATCATTTTATTGGGGGCTCATTCAACTCTTATCACAATCCATACTTACAGCAGTTGTGTAAAGCACATTTGTACGTTCGTTACCCTCATCATTCTCAAAACATTTGCTCTCCCCATAAGCTCCTGGCATCAGCTCCTCATTTTTCCCCCTCCCTCCTTGTTCCCCGCTCCCTCATGA